AACTAACTCCGTGGAAACACGGGTTTCAGTTACTGAAATGTTAAGAGACTCTCTTTCTGGGATGGATGTGTTTGGATGTGCGCACTGTTGGGTCATATGCTTCGAAATATTTCTAATATTGTTCTGTGTTTCCTGCCCTGGTGTGTGCTGGTAGACACGATTCAGTAATAAAAATGTCTCAGTACCAGTATCCTCTGAAGAAAACTAGTGAGTTCTCAGTTTTCAAGTTTGCTAAAAGACCAGAGCCCGGGATGTGAGGTAACATTTCAATTTAGCATCTAATGTACATTATTTTTAGATTCATCCAAGATGTGTTTATTGGAAGAATGACTGTAGAGAGAGGCCCTTATTCTAGACGCTACCACTGGGAGTTTTGATCTCACGTTTTTCTTGGGAACATAGTTCTAGGAGCTTTAACACACACGTAGATTCTTGTAACCACCACGACAATTCACGATCCAGAACAGTCCCCAGACTCCACAACACTCATCTGGAGCCACGCCTTCGCAGTTACGCCTTCCTCACCTCTTCTCTCTGGTAGCAAGTGATCTGTGTCCTTCTCTGAGGTATTGTCTTGTGGAGAGTGTCAGCTATGAAACCGTACACTTTCTAGCCTCATGAGGTGGGCTTCTTTATGATGCAACATCTCGGATGAATCTCAAATGCTTCTATCGATTGTCTGTTCTATTTTCCTGCTGACCAATATTGCACTGTATGCAACACCAAGTTTGTTTCTCCATTCTTCCATTGAAGGACGTTGGTGTTGTCTCTAGTTTGGAGCGATTATGAATAGAGCTGCTTTCAGCATTTACGGGCAGGCTTTTGTGCAAACCTAAGCTTTCGTTTCTCTAGGGTAAAGAACCAGGACTGGGATTGTTGGGTCCTGTGGTAAATGTCTGTGGAACTTAAAAGAGACCGCCAGACTGCTTCTCAAACTGGCTGTACTGCTCGCTTCCCCACCAGCAACGTGTGGGAGTTCTAGTTGCTCCCATGTTGTCTAGCACTTGGTACCGCCAGTACTTTAAACTTGGGCCATTCTAATAGGTGCGATGGGGTATCTCATCTGGGTTTTAATTCGCATTCCCCTCATGGTTCATGACGTTGGACGTTGTTTCATGGGCTCGTCTTCAAGCCTTTCTCCCATTCTAATCAGGACGTTGGTTTTTTGACTGTTGAGTTCTGAAAATGCTTTCTCTATTCTGCAGATGAGGCCTTTATCAGGTCTGTGATTTACAAACATTTTATCCTAATGTGCACTCTTGCTTTTCGTTCTCTTCACACACTGTCTTTTATAGAGCCAGAGTTTTAAATTTTGCTGAAGTCCACTTTGTTCATTTTTCCCTCATGTGGATCGTGCTTTCTGTGTCACATCCAAGACTCGCCTTTCCTCAGCTCACAAAGATGTTCTCCTCTGGTTTCTTCTAAAAGTCGTATGATCGTAGCCTTGGCGTGTACGTCTCTGAACCCTTTTTAGTTAAATTACCTGTAAGTGTCGAGGCTGAGGTTCATATTTTTCCACATGGATATGCAACGCCATTTATTAAAAAGATCATCCTTTCTCCTTTGAATTCCCTTTTGCATCCCTGTCCAAACCACATTTCTGTGGATGTATTTATGGACTATTTTCTTCTATTGATCTGCATGTCTACCCCTTTCTAGGACAGGAGTCCTCAGGACTGCAGCTTTACAGCAAGTCTAACAATCACATAATGCCATTTCTCCAAATCTTTACATCTTTTTGAAAAATTGAAACTTCTACATAAATTGTACAGCTTTGTTGATATATATATATATATATATATAAAATATAAATTTCCATCAAGGATTTCAATGAGCAGTGCATTGATTCTGCAAAGCAAGTTGAACAAAATTGACGTTTTCCTTTGTTGAATCTTTCAATCCACAAACATATTTATTGTTTCTCTCCGTTTAACTAGGTCGTCTTCGATTTCCTTCATTAGCATTTTATAGCTTTCAGCATACAGATCCTGTAGATATTTTCTTAGTTTCATATCTAACTATTCCAGTGTGTTTGTAGCTATTACAAACAGTATTGTTTCTTAAGTTTAGGTTTCCACGTACTCACATGATTGTTTTCTGTGTGTTGACTTTGTCTCCTGTGTCTTTGTAAACTCGATTATTCCTTCCAGGGGTTTGGGGAAGATACATTGGAGTGTTCTGTGTAGAGGATCATGTGATCTACAAAAGGGTCATTTTTTATTTCTTGCGCTCTCATACGTGTGCCGTTTGCTTTTCTGGCATTATTGCCCTGTCTGGGGACTCCAACGTGGAGTTGAATAGCTATGGTGAGAGTGGACATCCTTGCCTCGTTCCCAAGCATTCAGTCTTTGACCATGAAGTGGGGTGTCAGTTGTAGGTTTTTCTGTACGTGCCCTTTATGAGGTTCAGGAAGTGTCTTCTAGTCTTCGTGTGCTGGGGTTTTTATATCATCCGTGGACGTTGAATCTTGCCGAATGTTTCTTCTGCACATGTTGATGTGATCTTGTTGTTTTTCTTCTTCCTCCGATGTCTCCATCTGTGGATTATGTAGATGGATTTTCAGTTATAGAAGGAACATCCCTTGAGTTCCTGGTATAAAACCCCCTCGATCGTGGTTTATTATTCTTTTCATCTCTTGCTAGATTTGAACTGCTAGTTTGTTCTTGAAGAATTTTGTGCCTGATTGAGAAGGAGTATTGATCGGTCTGTAGTTTTCTTGGTATCAGTGCTGTGCTAGCCTCATAAAATCAGTTGGAAGTGTTTCCTCTGCTTTATTTTCTTGTGTAGAATTGGTGTTATTTCTCCGTTTAATGTTTGGTAGACTACGCCACTGAAACTGCCTGGGCCTAGGGATCTTTTTGCAAAGGTTTTTAAACTACGAGTTCAGTTTCATTAAGAGATACAGGACTGTGCACACAGTTCGATGTTTGAACCACATCTTGTGTGACTTTGGTAGCTTATGGTTTTCGAGTACGTGGTCCATTTCATCTGAGCTGCAGAGTTCACACAGAAGAGTTGTTTGCGGGATTACTACATTGTCCCTTGTATGTTCTCTGGGTCTATAGGTGGAATCTCTTCTTTCAGGCCTGCTGTTGGTACCTTGTTGCTTCTCTCTGTTTTTTCCCTGTCAGTGTTCTACAGGTCGATCGATTTTATTGATCATTTCAAAGAACAGGCTTTTGGTTTAAGTGAAGTCATCTATTTTGTATCTGTTGGAAATTTCCTGGTTTTCTCTTGCTCCTATTTTGTACACATGCTGGGAATTTGGAAATGATCTCCATAGCTTTTTGACTAGATGCAAAATCAGTGACCACGAAGGCGAAAATACAAAAGAATGTGCCACCAGGTATAAAATTTAGGAAAAGTCTACTTTACGAAAGGAGATGAATGCTTGTGAGAAGAGCGCTTGCTCGTCACGCATTGCTTGTTCTTAAAATTATTCTAGAGAATGGGTCGGAAAGTGTCAGCAAGGAAGTGGCCTCACCGAATGCGTTGCACCCTTTTGCATCCTGTGTGACTGGGATGCGATGATTGGTGTCGTTTCTAACACCTTTGCTATATGCCAGCCACATTCTACGCTCTAGACAGGTATTATCTCAGTCGATCCCCAGAAGACAAGGTGGTGGGTCTCCTGATTGTCCCCGTTTTACACACAGGAAGTGGAGGGACAGAGGGGTTAAGTAAGGTGTATAATGACGGCTCTCCTTTCTTCCCTTATCACCCTTTGTTTCAGTCTGGCCGCACACCCTTCCTCGCTACCTTCTGGATATCTGAGAACCTCCAGCTTCACGTTCTTGTCCAGAACACAGAGGCCGAGCGGAGCCTCCAGCTCAGACTAGACCTCCATGGATCCACTCCAGAAATGGAATCCAGTGTTGATCTCGGGATCTTCCCAGATGACGGCTGCAGAGACTTCGCAGGCGGGCACAGCAGCCCCTCGGCCTTCCTCCTCAGAGCAGCTGATGGTGGGCCTGGGTAACCCACGCCCCGGTCCTGGCTCCAGGCACCCTGTGCCTCTGCCAGAGGGGCTGCTCCAGCAGCGGTACCGAGAGGAGAAGAGCCTGCAAGAGAGGCGGTGGGAAAGGCTGGCGTTCCCGCAGAGGAAGAAAGCATTCCTGGGGCACCTGAGGCGCAGACACCGTGATCACATGGCACCTTACCCGGCTGAGAGGGAACCCAGGATCTCTCTGTCAGGGAACGGGGATCAGAATCGATTCCGATGCGAGTGTCGATACTGCCAGAGCCATAGGCCGACTCTTTCTGGGATCCCTGGGGAGAGGAGCGGGGCTCCTCCTGCTTCCTCCTGGGAGGCGCTAGTGCAGGGCCTCAGCGGCCTGACCCTCAGCCTGGGTACCAGCCAGCCCGGCCTTCTGCCCGGAGGGGCGCTCCAGCAGCAGGAGAGAGAGGAGAAGCGCCAACTGGAGAGGCAGCAGGAGAGCAAGAGAGTGTTCCAGAGGCTGCTCAAACAGTGGTTAGAGGAAAACTGAGACACTGCTCGTCACGCGACGTTGGAAGGAAGGTCCTACTCTCCCGTGCCTGTCATTCCTGGATCGCTGTGAGGCATTCTGTGGCAAGGGGGACTGTGTACCGGGGGGTCCTCACCTCATCTCATGTGGCTGCTGTGGTGCGTGTTGTCACTTTCCCACCCTGGATCTCCATCTTTGCTCCCTACCTTGTTGTCCGTAAGAGATAAAACGTCTGTGTAGTGTCAATGGCTTGTTGCTGTCCCTGTGCTTTTGTGCCATTTAACTGACTGCCTCTGAGAAGCAGCACTAGGTCTGTCGAAATGCAACGCGCCACCCTGAGGTCCAGTTTCAAGAACCGGAAGCTGAACAAAGTGTGGGAAAGGGACGTGGAATGAGAACTTGGTGGTTCACCATCGTACTGTGTGTGTAAACTATTATGAATATGATAAGCTAAATGTAAGTAAATGTCTCCCTGCTCTTTAACAGTCAAGTCGTAGTCCTCCTCGCAGGAATTCCGATGGGGTACCTCATCGTCAATACCAAATAAATATATGTATGAAAGAAAGTAACCGAAGAATTCAGGTTTGTTCATCAGTAGTGGTTTGTTTCCTGTCAGATCTGAGATCACTACCTTGAAATCCCCAGCAGTGGCTCAAGAGTTCATCAAGGGGAGCTCTGCGCTGGGGGGCTGGGGAACAGGGGAGGGGGCACCAGAGAACACAGTCCAGTCGCTGAGGCCCTGCGGCAGGACCAGCATCCAAACCAGCCGGGCGGCACAAACAGAAGGAAGAGAGTCCTCCTACTTGCGGGAGATGTGGAGGCAGAGTCCGCTGCCCACCGTGGGAGCCCCTGCCCCTTGGTGCCGATGCCCTGGCTTAGGGGATCCAGGGGCCATTCTCTGTTGTCTGGTGTGCCTGGGTGGTGACTGCAAACAGCGGTTTTGTGCCTGCTTTGTGAGAACCAGAGCATCCTCTACTTATTTCAAAATCATATTGGCATTTGGACACGTGTCTTCTAATTTCAAGAGCCACCACTGATTAAATCTACCTTTTTTCTCCCTGCAGAATCCCGAGATGTGTACCCAGCAAGTGACCGTGCGATTCTTCTGAACTGAAAGCAAATTCTGCTTTGTGTCAGTCTGTGTTTTTAGGTACACCCCAGAGCCGTGTTGCTGCAAAAATCTACGCGTCTCCTGCCCACAGAAGGGGCTTGAAAACAGGTATGATTCTTAGATTCTGAACTCGGGATCTCATCGGAGAGCTTGACAGTTAAACCGACCCTGCCAGGATTCCCTCCCAGCTCCAGGGTCAAGGAAATTAAAGCAGGGCTTTTCTTTCTTGAAACTCAAATTCAGACTGGCGAATCGGGGAGAGTTTAGAAGGGGTACCATGGCATTGCGCTTCGCTGGATGTGTACTAGTTTTCTGTGCGTATTTCCGAGGTTTAGCTCATTTTGTCCTCTCCCACAGACCCATCATCTGGCAACATTTTCAGTCCTCTTCTATGATTTGGAAAGCAGAGTACAGAGAGGTAGGGAACTTGCCCAAGGTCACACGGGCGGTAGGAGGTGGAACTGGCGTGCAAACCTAGGCGGGCTGGATTCAGAGCTGGCGCCGTTCACCGGTTTCCCTCCGTCAGGGTGAGGGGTGAAGGGTGAAGCGCCAGGGGCTCCAGTGGACCTGCCATGGCTGGTCGCACCACATCTTAGTAAGAGACGTTGTTGAATCCCCGCCGCGATGCAGTGGGGCTGGTATACGCATCCCCACGTTGCAGAGAGTTCATGGAGGCCGTGAAGTCGTGCGCAGAGACACGCGGGCCTTTGTCTGACTCGCCAAACACCGAATTGCTTGCTGTTGACCTCCCCAGTCAATTCCGACCCACGCTGCCAGTGACAGTAATCGTTTAACCAATCATCACGGCTTCAGTTCGCTCACTTTGCCCCCACCCCCCTGTTCCGTGCTGTGCTGGCTGTTGTGGGGAAGTGAAGAGGAATAGCAGAGGGCGTCCCTGCCCTCGGGGATTGAGCATTTCGTCAGGGAGAGAGATCAGATGCTGC